TTGCTTAAATAAACTTATATTCTTGAAATATTTTAGTTTATACTGTCTTTATCTATAGAAATTCAAGACTTGGTATTTTTAAAAATTCCAAAATAAATAAATAAATTTAAAAATAATTTTATATTTTTGAATATTAAAAATAAAATCGAAAAATTTGAATCTTCATGTCTTGCCTCGAGATTCTAAGTCCGGACTCAATCCTTTATGATTAAAAAAAGGATACGTTCGAGATTTATTTGTCCGGTTTTCAAAATTTTCTTCGAATCGGGTAACCTGTGACATACGGATCTAGACATACCACAGAGCACGAATAGTCTAGAATTGTTAATGTCCTACCCAAAAGAAGCTTTGAATTTAACTCTTTATTCCTTTCTAGGCCATTTTAATAATTAAATTATAATTTGAATATTTTAATATTTATTAAATAAATTCAATATAAAACAAAATTAATGAGTATATATTAAAAACAAAGTTTGAAGTGTGTATAATTTTAAAAAATTGAAGAGTAAATTTAAGAAAGTAATAAATCCAAAAATAAAATTTGTCTTAAATCAATCTTGAGATTGAAAAAAATTGAAACAATTCAGTTCAGCAATATCGTTGTAAAGTTCAATTAGAAAATGATTGCAAGTAGTTAAACAAAATGTAGGATAAAAAGGTGATTTATCAATGCAATGCATGTTGGACAATCCACAAGAAATCATAGATTGATTAAATAAAACATTAACAGGCTCATGAAGCATTAACAGTGATGTACTTTCAAGATCTAAAATTAAAGAAAAATTTTTTTCCAAAAAATCAGTTAACCTTCCGAATAAGTTAAGGTGGCTTAAATGTAAACGAGTAATGCCAAATAGTCGAGCCAAACTGAACTCTGTTAATGCTCATTGACTCTGTTAGAGAGATAACATTTTAAGTGGTGGTCACACCGACAGAGTGCCTGCTGACAGTAATCTTTCTAATCACTCAAGCATTTGATGTTCATACGAGCTGAAATAACAAAATTTCAGAAAACTAAAGTCAAATTAAATTTTTAAATCTTACGTGATCTTTTTCATGATAATATAAATTTTTGTCAATTTCAATGTAATTCTTTAAGGCCGGAATTCCATTGAAATTATTCAAAGCTGCAATACAGTGATGATGATGGTTGCAGCAACTATTAAAAATTAAAATAAGACTAAAAGGATAAAGGGTAAAGCAGGTATAGAGTTTAATAATTGAAGGATGAAATCAAGTCCAAACCCAAACCGCAAAAAGACTGAACCAGATTTTTTCTGGACGGATCCCGGATTTAATACGACTTACTAGATACGAAAATGTACGGAGGGGGGAGGGGTATCGAGGAGGGAAGTATCGAACTATAATCGGCATTTTTTTTTCAAAATAATTTACCTATGTACGGATTTTTCAGTTTTTCTTTGGCCTTCTTTGTGATAATTTTTCCAATTCCTTTGTTTCATTTAATAATTTTTTACTCCCGTGATACGCTTTAAATTGTCTATTTGTATAGAGGTAAGGAGCAATTCTTAGCATAACAGTGCGGTATACATTTGTAGATCTTAGAGCTCTTATTTCCAAATCGTTGTTAACGTCTGTGGAAAGCTCTTCATATTTATTGACATCGTTGTCAATTAAAATTCTCGTTGTATGGATGATCTGCTACATTTGTTTTTCCGATCTTCGAATGGCAGAAAGTCCGTTGTTAACGTTCATGACGGCCAATATGATTGTTTCATTGCCGTCGTGACATTTTTACTATTGTAGGCGTCGAGTAGTAAAAGCGAGGTTTCCAGTTCTAATGGAATATATTGTTGCCGGACCTTTATTACATCATAGGTCCAGCAGCAAAAAGCAAAGCGTCGTCAAGGAAACAGCTTAAGCAGACGCAGCTTGACGGAATGGGTTGGATTTTCGACCAGCATCTCGTAAAAACGCTAAATTAAAATTTCTATCTTATTTAGCATTTACTTGTTAAGAATATATCACTGATCAGGACACTGATTGTAATTCATTTAAAATTTGATCAGCCTCTGAGTGGTGGAAGATTCCTAGGAGATACTCAAATTTTGGAGTATCTCCTTCCACCCCCTTCAATGGGTTACTTAAAAGTGGATTGGACCTTATAATTCTAAATATTTTTTAAAAATTACATAGAGCAAACCTATATATAAAAAAAAACCTACAAACCTATAAGCCTGCTATGTCCAAAATAACATCAGTTGTTTTATAATCACCATTATAAAACAACATGAAGCCATTCCATTGGACTTCAATTCCATTGGAATAGTGCGTCCTGCAGAAGCCAACGTCGATGCACTCTTAGCACATCCTTGAGCCATTTCCGGGACGACTTCAATAGATGGCAGGCAACTGAATGCTTTTTTTACTAAGCATTTTCATATTCGTGAATTGGCTTTCGTAGCAAAACAGAAATTTCTAAAAAAATGAAGAATAAAACACGGAAAAGAACTTTTTATGGTTATCCGGATTTGGTAAATCATCACTTGATCCCATTTATCCAAGCTTATCTACGCAACTTTAGTTTTCTTTAAAACAAGTCAAATGAGATATGATTTAAGTTTTTAATTGATATATAGAACAACAATGTTCCAATATTTTTTATGCATAAAAATGCCGGAGAGTCTCTCAAAACTTATTCTCCCCATAATAAATATGTATAAAAAGTATTTAATTAATTTACTAATGTGCAAGAATTTACTAAATTGCCTCAAAATCTCTTGGATTAGCATGCCAGAAAATATTGTATTGCGAGTCTCCTTCGAGTGTCCTTTCAATCCAAACTGTCAACTGCTGGTTAGCACAACAATAGGCTCTGTAATGAGAGCATTTGATACCGTGTTGTCTTTAAAATTTTAATGATTGAGTTAACCGATGGTGCGGTATCAATGATGCCGTAGATAAGTCGAATTGATACAGGCCTCAATCTTTTCCGTCTTTGCAATCTTTGCCCAGCAAAGAATGAGTTCTCTAAATTATTAAAAATTAAATTAAGAATTCCTATTAATGAAATTTTTATATAATCAGGCAGTTGGGCTATAGCTATTTCTCTCCTTTAGCTAGTGCAAAAGGGTAACCTGCGGCTGGGAGCGAACCAGCATTTTCAGTAGACCGGACTGACGAGTTACCCATTACAGCATAGCCTCGGGAATTATATGCTTTACAATAAAGTAATGTTTCATTTTTTGATAAAAATATTTTAAATCGTAATTTGATAGAGTTCCGGATCCACTATAATATTTGGAAACCCTTAAATCATTAATGATTAAACACCTGTTGACTGGCAAAGTGTCTGCTGACAGCTATTATTCCTCGTTCGTGCATGTAAAATTTCCATTAAGGCATTTCATGTTAAGCGTTGTTGGATCGATTTTGATGAAATAAGCATTTGGTGTGAGTGAAGAGCAGTTTTCGAAACGTTCAGAGGCTTTCCATGTGCAATAATGGTGGTTTTCGCAGCACCTTAAGCATAGTTGTATTATTCAAACTTTGCTATTTCATTAACGGAATAGAATTATAAAATCCTATCAGGTGTAAGTAAAGTACTAATGTTTGGATAAAAGAATTAGATAATAGCCAGATTATAAGATATATAAATCGAGATTAGAGAAAATCTGACGTACATCATCTCACTCAAGTGAGAGTGACGTAACTGCTTTAACGTACAAAAATGTTTATAAACAAAATTGAGAACCCCTACACATTTGGGAGATTTATTAAATTTAGTTTAGTAGATTAATATTCTAACTTTCTTATGAACAATATATTTTATTGAAAATCAAAGCTGAATTGATGTTGGCTCGGACATCAGAAAAATAATTTTAGAAAATAAATAGGATATTTTTTGAGTATTTATTATTTAAATAAAATCAAATCTGGTAAAATTTTACTAATAATTTTTAATTTAATTACCTTCCAAAATTTATTTATTTATATACCCCTTTTAAGCTTAAATTAATTTTGATGATTATTCATGGGAAATGGATTCTAAATTAATTTTTTATATTAAAAACGTACAATTCCCCTTTAAATTTGGTTAATTTTGGGTAATAAAAATTTATTTTTGTAATAATCATAGGATCATATTTTGGAATTTTTTAAATGAATATTTAGTTGTGGGAAAATATTTCATATTTAATTAACCAAAATTATACAATTTTAACCAATTTTGTGGGGGAATTGTACGATTTTAATATAAAAAATTAATTTTGAATCCATTGTCCAAGAATAATCATCAAAATTAATTTAAGCTAAAGCGGGAGCCGGAACGTTATTTATTTGGTCAGATAAATTTAAAATGAAAACACTCAGAAGTTGGGTGGGATAGTTGAGCTGTTAACAAAAAGACATCCAATCTCATATATTCAATCACTTGCTTTGGTACTTATCAGTTATACGCCCACAAGCTGAGTGCCAGCCAAATTTGATCGGCTTTAACTTTTTGATGCCTGATAGTAGTTATTTTTCTTATCGAGGGCTTTCGAATGAGCTAAGATCTATCTGAATTGGAGCAGGCATCAAAAACACACACTGTATTCTAAAATTTCTTGTTATCCTTGCTAATGTTCTAAATCCTCAATTTCTCCTAATGCATCTTATCCCTTCATTGAATCTAATTTTCAGCACCAAAGGCGAAAATTTTGAGAATTTTGGCTGACTTTAAGCCAGATTTCTTCCATTTTTTGCGCAGCATGCGAAAATTAAACTAACTAAAAATTGGTTAGTTAAACGCCGTTTGGAAGTACCGTATGCAATTTATCCGATGCCGTTTCGTTTAATTTTACCAAAAAACCCGTTTACCGTATACCTTTAGTTAAACGGTTTTGAACAATTCTATCAAAAATATTCTTTTTAGTGATAAAAATTTTTATCATTATCTGAATTGGAGTAATAAAAAAGAGCTGTATTAAAAAATTATTTTCGAAATTAATAAAAAAAATCTGTAAGAATGATTGATTTTAGAAATTTATAAAATTTTAAACAAATTTTTATACAAAGAGAGAAAAAAAATAAAAAATATGTTAATCAAAAAAGTCAAAGTAAAGCCATTTTTCAATAAAATACAATAAAAAAATAAATTAAACTTCACACCAAACAAAAAATAGATTTATCAATTAATTCTCTTAATTACAGCTCTAACTCCCGGCACATTATCTTCAAAAACTGACACATCAATAGATTTATATCTATGTTCAATGCATACGGAAAATTTAATTTTTGGATTGTGTTTATTTGAAATTTGAAATTTTGTAGTTTTAATACCTTCTTTAAATTTGGTTTTGATATTTTCTGCATTTTCACTTGAAATAAGAGGTCCATACATAATATCAAATTTAATATCCTCCGGCATTTGAGAAAGGTCTTGTGATTGTTCTATATGCTAAAATTAATTTTCTAAATAAAGTTAAAGGTTATCTTGTAGTACAATCAGAGACATCTTAATTATAGACTGGACATTAGTGGTCGCTTGATAATATCGCTATCGATAATCATCGTATTGAACCGGTCTCTATTCCTGACATGGGTATACAAAAATGAAAAATTTAAAAGAAATTTTTTGACGGAGTATAGCCCAATTTTATATATCCCTATAATGGAATTGTACACACCTTTATAATAGAATTGTAAATTCTTGAATCAAGATTCACATAAGTAATATTAAAAAATTTATTTCCTTCATTTTCCAAAATTTTAATCAAAGTGTCTATACTATTTTCCACGTCGAATATGTTAAGAAATTCAATTGTATTATCGCTTTTGTCAACCGAGTCAAGAACAACAACTATAAATTGATTACAAATAAGATGATTCAAAGCAAAATTTAAGGAATAATCATTTTCAAGAAATAATTCTCCCATTTGGGAATGGATTTGTAAAGGTAACTTTGTTGCCGTATCTTCATCAAATAATAAATCAATCATTTGTGGATTAATTAAGAATTCACCAATTCGAAAAAATTCAAAGGTACAGTTAAAAAATAGTTGTAATAAATAGCGAATAATTTTCATTTCCACAATGTTTTTTGGAAACTTTGACAATTGTAGATAGTATAATGCTAAATAAAAATTTTTAAGATTAAAGAATAATTTTTAGAAAGGTTTGACCCCAGAATGAGGACACTCCCAGACAGAGTGGGTGTATAACCTAGTTCATTTAAGTCAGATTTCGTTGGATTTAGTACCAAACGACTCAGCTCGAAGAGCTCTTTCGCATGATATATAATTTAACATAAAATGTAAAAAAATAGAAAGGAAAAAAGGGGGATGGTCAGCCAAACTATTACCAAAATTTTTTCATTTTTCACGGCAAGGGGGCGGGGAATTTTCAAAAAATCTCTCAAATTCCCCGACTTTCCAGGATGGGGAACAACCCTAGTTAATAACCGGGAATGATCAACCCTCATTTTATAATTTAAAAAATTTGACTCCTAATTACATAATCCCAATTTTTTGTTCGTACTCCGTACCAGGTAAGAGCACAAATTTTAGTATGAGCGTCCAAGCACTGATTAATATATAACCTCAAATAATAAGTAACCTTTATCCACTTTGTAATTGTGTTGCAATTCGCAGAAAACAATATCAATGGGCGTATAGTCTGAATCATCGTCTGCGAGGTCTGAATCCTCTTCCTCTGTTAAAAACATAGGAATTGAGTTTTCTATTCCAGACTTCCACTAAAATTTAAGGTTTAAAATGAAAACGTTAATTTTAGAAAACCTTTTTTTCAAGTTGTTTACTCAACTCGAAATCATAATTTTGAGGTTCTAGTTTAATGAATTCATAATCCTGTTCACAAAATTCATTATATTCACAAAATTTATCATTCTCACAAGATCCATCATGCTGGCAAAGACTAACATGTTCATCCAATTTCAAGCAATAAAGTTTAGGATATGGTTTATAATCTTTATACCTTTCTTCTTCTTTATCTAATTCACAAGTAGTAATCTAAAAAATAATTATTAGATATCATGAAAAATTATTTTTCGAGACCGGAAACCGTATTTTGGATCACATGCAATTTCTAAGTATGATTTTTCGAAATTAATACGGTTCGAAGATAACTGGAGATTGAAAAGCCCCGTATTTGAGAACAGCAAGTGGACAGGCTATGAACGAATGGGGAGGCTCCGAACTGGGACACAGGCTCTGAAAAAATCCGGGTGGATAAGGCAAGGCGCCGTGCATTGTTAAAGAATTAAGTTACAAAAAATCACAATTTCAAGCCTCTCGTATTTTTTCCTTGCCAATTCCTTTTCATATTTGTTAATAAATCTTTTGAGATAAAAACTTGTTTCTTGAAAAGATAATAATTGCTTGAAGTTGAGACATTTAAACACATCAAGTTGAATTGCAGACGGAATGTTTATTTTTGCAAGCTTTTTAGTTTTGCCATCATCTGGCACTTTGTCTTCTGCATTTGGAAAGGTCTGGTACCATTTACCTTCCTAAAACATAAAAATTTTTTTGATTTACACATAAAGTTAATTAAAACTTTTTTATAATATTTAACTCCTTCGTGATCAATAATTTTTCGATCCTGGCTCATTATTATAAAAAATCTAATTGAAAATAGAAAATTCGGTCTGTAAATGGGTGAAAAATAGAAAAAACTTTATTTTAAATAGTTATAATAACATGAATAGATAATAAATAGTTTGGAATTCGCCCCACCCCCCCTCCCCCCCCCCCCATTTTTCCTTTCTATTTTTCCTAGTTTTTCTTATTTTATGGCAAGTTATATATCATTCGAAAGAGCTCTTCGTACTGAGTCGAATGACCTTAAAATTAACGAAAATTGTGGAAGGGCGGATAGATGATAAAAACATAAAGAAAATGTATAAAGGAAAAGGTTTAGGGAAAAGAAGGTGAAGGGCACAATTTAGGTAGGATGAATTGAAAAATATTTGAAAGTTGGAATGAGGGAATTATTTAAATACATTTACGTACATTGAGAAATGGGGCAAAACAGAAGAAAGTCAAATGAAAGAATATACTAAACCAGGGTTCCGATTCGTACTTTTTTAAAAGTATGTACCTTTAAATCAACATTTTGGACTTGAAAAATGAAAAATGGAAGAAATCTGGCTTAAGGACCTCGAAAATTTTCAACCTGCGGCGCAAAAAATGGAAGACCTTTTGGCGCCTTCGGCGCCACAAAAAAGTGCATTGAAATGTACAAAATGCTCAGTGGAAACAAGAAATAAATGAAAAAGATTGATTTAGGAGTGAAATATATAAAAGATTTGAGGAGAATAAATTTTTTCTAATTTAATTTGGAATGTATTTTTATTTGGAATTTAGTACTTATGTACTTTTAAATCGAGATTTTTGTACTTTTGATTGGCATTTTGTCGATCGGAGCCAGGGCTGTGCATCATGGCGTTTTGGCGGTAATTTTGGCCGATTTTTGGCGTTTTGCGTTTGGCGTGATTTGTAAATTTGAAAAATTGGCGTTTGGCGCGCCATGCGAAAATTTTGGCGCACAGCCCTGATTGTATCCAAATATTTTTGAAAGTCATGCTAAGTTTTGACTAAAAATATAGAGAAAGAACACGTATATGGTATACCGTTTACCGCTTAGCTATACGGTTATGTTTCACCCTAATTATCAACCGTAAAAAATGCAGCGATTTTTTTAGTGCTAAAAATTCAAAAATTTTATTTTCAGCGCTAAAAAACGGAGAAATCCGTCTTTTTGACCTAACAGAATCCTCAGAATTTTTGGTAATTCAAATAAAATAATAGTACTATAATGTTAGCCTTCATATTCAAAATTAATATTAATATAAAGTAAACGTAAAAAATATTTTTTTGTGTTGATTCATAAATTAAAAATTTTCCCACAATCAAATATTTAATTAAAAATTACTAAAAAATTTTCTATGATTATTCCAAAAAAAATTTTTTATTACCTAAAACTAACCAAAATTATATAAATATATTTGGGAAATTGTACGATTTTAATATAAAAATTAATTTTGAATTCATTTCCCATGAATAATCATCAAAATTAATTTAAGCTAAAAAGGGGTATATAAACGAGTATATTTTGGCTGGTAATTAATTTAAATGTAAATAGTCTAATTTTATTTAATTTAATTTTATTTAAATATTAAATACTCAAAAAAATATTCTATTTATTCTCCAAATTAATTCTCCAAATTAATAAATTATTTGAAAAGTAAAATCACTGTAACATTTCCATACTTTAATTTATATTTTAATTTAAGAGAAACGAAGAAGAATACATCTCTCCTGTGGTTAATGTAAGCCAATCTTAATTACAGCCAAAATATATTATTATTATAGTTAAAATGCAGCCATTATAAAAAACCATCGTTTTATGAAAAATATGCTTGCCAGTGAGTTAATTTTTAATTAAGATTTAAATTAAACCTTTTTGATTTTTAGTTGCGGAAACTCGAAAGCTGTCCCCGTGAAACTGAATTATACAGAAGAGCTTAAAAAACTGAAGGAGCCGCTTAAACTGAGACGTGATCATACTAGCTTTTGCGATCCTTACTATGATCCAGGTGCAAAGAATTTTCTGGGCTAATCACCTGGCCTGAATGTGATATAAATGGAAATGGTTGTGAAAGTGAAATCAAAACAATAGCAAAAACCGTATCAAAATGCAACGAGTAAATCCTTTTTTTTTTTTTTTTTTTTTTTTTTTTTTAACATTTTTATAAAGCAGCGCCCTACATCTACAACGCCTTAACGTCATGTTCCCTTCGCACTACCCCTACACCCTACCCTTTACTTTAATCCTTTTTTTAAATTTTTTATACATTTGCACATTTAACCTTCCAAAAACGAAATTTTTTTAGTAAAGCAGAGACATAATAAAATAATATTTAGGCCAAATTTATTTTTTATTATTTTGGATTTGTAAAATTTTAGTTTAACATTTTTACTTTATTTTTGTTTATTTTTGCCTTTTTAACGTTCATTTATTTATTTCAAGACTTCTGTTTCACTTTTGGATTAACTATAAGTATTTTTCTAAGCTTACCAAGCTTCTGAAGATAATAGGTAATGACTATCATTTTCCTATGCAAAGCTTTTAATTATCAGTATTTAGCCCCTACAGGCCACTGCACGCTTAATTTGCTTAATATCAATTATTTCATTTATTAATTTATTAATATATAGTAAATAAGGAAAAATGACAACTGTACTGCTTAAGATTAGTTTTGTTTATTTTTGTGAGCCTACTATCAGGTTTTGGCTAAAATGGTACGATACATGTTTGTACTTTACTGAAATCTAAAATTTTTGTCAATTCGATAATAACTTTGAAATTGCATTTTAAAAAGTCTATAAAAAATAATCGCTGTTTTACTTAACAGCGATTATTTTATTTTAAGTTGTCTTAGTAATTAATGAAAACATTACAGATGTTTCAAGATTCTTCATTAGTAGGTTAATATTTTTGTAAGCCAAAGATTTTCGCTTTGGCTAGAATGTCACCCTATAAAAGTTAACGTTTATCCGCAAACTTAATGTTTTGGCTACCTTATATTTACTTTAAAAATCATAGTTGCCGTCAGATTTAATTAATTTATTCCCGGAAGTTTATTTAGTATTAATTTTTTGTTGAAATTTTATTATTAATTAAATGTAAATTTTTTTCCTTGTTCTACAAGAACCTTTTGAGATATTTTTTTGTAAGTCAAACATTTTGTTTAGGTTAAAATTTTACTTGATAAGGATAACAATTTTTGGAACCAGATTTTACATGTAAATGACCAGAAATTTTTAATCTAGTTATATTTTTAATAATTCTGTTTCTTTATTTTGTAAAGAATTCATTAAATAAGTTTGTATGCAACCATTTTTGATTTGACAAAATGTGTTTTGTAAGCCTAATACTTTATTTTAGCTAGATTTTGACTGTTAATCGTAACAATTTTCGTAAACTTGATTTATGTATTTTTTAAATTTATTTGTAGTATCAGTAAAAATTATATTTTAAGAAACATTTCTTTGTGGAGTTTAATATATTTTATGTAAAATTTACATAAATTATCCTGTTGCTTTGGCTAAATTTTTTTGCGCGTTTTATTGGTTATTTACTTTTACTCAGTATTAATTTTTTATTTAAATTTTCTTATTAATAAACGTATTATAATTAGACTTCACTTCTCTATCTCCCCGTTAATATTTTTGTGAGCCAAATATGCGTGATTTGGCTAAACAGATACCTGATTTCTTAATTTATTTTATATTAACCGTAACAGTAATTTCTGGAAAAAGTGCATCAAAAATTGATATTCTTTTAATGATTAAAAAGAGCCCCTTTCTTTTACTTCCTGTTAACCTTGATTTTTAAATAAATTGATCTTTGCTTCTTTAACGTTAATAAAGAACAAAGAACAGCAGCGCAGCCGCCCTTGTCAGTCACGCGAATTTTATTTTATTATTGTTTACTTGGTTATGCCTTCTTCCTCTATTTTCTTCTTTTTTATTTATTCAGCTGATCATTGGTCTCGAGGGGTTATTTTTGTTTGTGACAGCCTGTATATATTTGTGTAGCTGTTTTTTTAAACTTCCTTTTCCGATTTTTATTTCTCATTATTTATCATCATCTTTTATTTATTGTGACTATATTTTGGTTCGTTTCTTTTATTTATTTAAACTCCAAAAATTTTGTTTGTTTTTTATTTTTAAAATATACTCAAACTTCGTTATCAACTACTCCCGCCTCCTAATTAACCCCAATTTATTATACTTTTTTGAAATTTGGTTTCGCAATAAGCGGCTTTTTATTTTAGAAGTCTTCTTATAAGACTTTCTATTTGATACTAGAGTTGTACCTCGAACACTCGGGGCGATTTTGTCGAAGTTCGGTGTTCAAATTGTTTTGTGCGGGATCGGTTGATCAAAATATGGTCAAAGTTTGGATTGTCTAATACCCCCTATTTAAGATACTCTCATTATTTAAGATACTCTTATGTATTTTAAAATACCTGTGTTTGCTGATAAATAAATAAATAAATTATAAGATACTTTTCTCTACTACATGGTCCGTGAAAAACGAAGTCCTATTATTTTTGACCCTGAATTTTTTCACTTCCACCCTCCCAAATTGTAAGGGTGGAAGTGAAAAATTTTTTATAAAAATAGTCTAGAAATTTTTTTAAATTTTTTAACTACAACCATCCACTATATATAAATTTATTTATCATTTAATTTCCAACCAAAGTAATTTTTAATGTTTGATTATTGTGATCAAAAAATGTGTTATGTATAATGACCATTACTCCCATTATTTAGTTTAAATTATTTTACTGAACACATAACCTTCTTTTTTTGATTCTCCGTTAGTTTAATTTATTATTTTTATTAGCTTCTGATCGTTTATAAAGTTTAGAGTACTAGAGAGTTGATTGAGTCTAGGATTAGAGGAATTATAGGTATTAGGGTTTCACTATGAGTTAGAGGTCGTTCGAAAATGGAGAAGGTGCCGGAAATAGAGACTGTCGGAAATCTGAATCGTTATGAGTTGCTATGAATTAGGGTTGTTTACTAGTGGTTATCAACCGTTACCACCGATTTCTGTTAACTTAAATCTTAGAAGCCCCGTTTTCGGATTGTATATATATTCTGTCACGAATTCAATTCTATCTGTCACGAATCCAATCGAATGATACCAAAAATAAAAAAATAGGTTCAACCACTAAGCAGTCATTACTACTAAACTGAACCTAACTCAATCCTTCTCAATAAATTCTTTCCTTTTTTCAGCAAGACAACGCTCCAAATTTTATTAAAAACTTTATTTTCTTATTTATCTTATAGCAAATTCAATTCTCTATCTTTTGGTATCAAAACCTTAAAAATTGGTTAATGCATTCAATTGTTACATCGATTAGACTAACCCACCAAACGGGACACTATAATTAATTAAATTCTTTTTAAGAAAATGTTTAGAGTTTCTGAAGAAATTTTCTTTCTAATTTATCTCATAGCAAATTCAATTCTCTATCGAACGACACCAAAATTATAAAAATCGGTCCATCCATTCAATAGTTATTAAGCTTAGACTCAACTATACCCAACTACCAGCTTCTTCATTTCCTCCTAATTTTTTCTATTTTTTTTCTAAAAACGTCCTTTAAAGGGCATATTAAATATTTACTATTTTTCATGCTTTTCCAAGTATTTACTTTTTGTTTTTACACTTTTAAGCTTTCATCTGTCCCCACTTTTTTTATTTTTTCTTGTTTTTCCAGACAGACTTTTTCTGTCTTCCTTTAACAGCAATTAATGTCGACACCTAAAAAGTGCTCTAGTTTAGTGCCAATTTTTTTCTTCTATTTTTTTACTATTTTTTACTATTTTTTGCCGTCAAACAGAACAAAAAAAATTTTTTATCCTTTGTTATTTTCTGTTTATTTTTCTGTTTTTAATTTTTATTCTTTTGTTAGTAGTCTTATTTTTATTTTTTTAGGGGTAAAATAAATTTATTTTTAGCCTAGTTTTTAATTTAAATTGTACGATGATTATTTTAAATTGTCAAATTCAAAAGGCAGTGACCAGCAGTATTACCAGTAGTATTACTGTAAACATTCTTATAGAATCCCTTCCTCTATTAGAAGCACATTGTATGAGAAATAATGAATCGTATAGGCTCTTTAAACCAAATTCCAGAATTGCGTTTGACCGGATCCTGTAGTATTTTTCTGTGTAGTCATGTTTGGAAACAATCCTTAGATCCACATGAATGAACTGGATTTGGGACCCGAAATCAGGAAAAAAATGAAGAGGAAAAAAGCCGGCTGATCCTGCCACACTATTGGGGTTTGAGTCTGAACTCATTTTCCTATTAGAGCCCCCAACTATTGAAGGGCTGTGGAATTAATAAAAACATGTTCTTCTAAATATCTCTTTAGTGCCAATAAATTATTAAAATATTTTTTTTATTTTTGCTTCTTCCCCCTCTATATTTCCCCATTTTTCTCTTTTTTTAGCTTTTTTTCACGCTAGACAACCATTTTTCTAACATAAACAACTCCAACTATATTTTATATTTTTCATTATCCTTTCTAAAATAGTATTAAAGTACAGCTAAAGTCTCTTTTAGTAAACAAATTTTGCCGTTAAAAAATAGTAAAAAGCTTCACGTTTTTCTTTCCTCTTAAATGATGGCAATAAGCTATAGAGGCGCGCGACATTTGCGCACAAAAATTGCGAACACCGATAAATTTAAAAATTAAAATTTAATTTGGAAATTTATTTTTTTAATTTTTTTGTCAAGTTTAGCATTGGAAACGACAATTTAAAAATATTCTTTAAAAAATGACCCTAGGCAAATTTAAATTAAAGACGGATCGCAACTGTCTTGTTCGCAAATGTCGTCTCTTTATTTTCCTCTCTCCTATTTTTTGCCCCATATTTTATTTTTAAAGCCACCTCCACCTTTTGCCAATAAGGCTAAAAATACACATTTTGCCAATAAAAGTGTTGGCAAAACGTGTATTTTCAGTAATATTGGCAAAATATGGATTTGGCAGAATATGGAGGGCTTTTTTAAAAAGGCATATTTTTTCCATACTTCCGTGTCCAATTTTCTTAACAAAATGTAAGTGTGTGGCATTTGCCAAAGACTTTTTTTAAATAAGATTTTTCCTCTTTTTGGTTAACAAAAAATTATTTTTTTTCTATTTATGGAAAAATGACTAATAGGACTTTAGCAAGTTTATTTTTTTTAATTTTATATTTTAATTGTACTAAAGTTTAATTTGGGGGTCATTAGAGTATGAGGCGTGGGAAACTAGCGATTTTTCGATATGACTGCAAAATATATCAAATCTGCCTTAGTGGAGTCTAAGTTTGCGCGTAGTGGAATAAAATATTTTTTGAGATTACTGTATTTATATGACTACAGTACGACTACAGTATTGTAAGGATGATTCAACTAGAGCATAGAAACTAGGGGTCGCTGCCCCGGTAGCTCAGTGGTATAGCTCCTGTATATGGTGAGCGTAAGCGCCTCAACAACTGTCAGTAGCAAATAAACTCTTACAGTATCATCTCCTAAATAGAAAAACCAGATACCTATTATACCTATTAGAAAGGCAAAATCCCTAATAGGCATTGTGTTTAAAATGCTTTTATTTCTACCTCATTTTTTTCAAATATACAAAGCTATCCCTTTTGATTTTTTATTTTCCATTATTTTAAATTTCCCTCACAAATCACAATCCCTCCTCCCCATTTATACCAACCTCTTAGAGTTATCTCGAGACTTTTTTCAGATGTGTGGAACAAAAAAAAAGATTAAATTTCCTTTTATGTAAAATTAATCTTTTTTTAAAGAATATTTTCTTTTTTGCACTTTTATCAAAAAATAATTTTTTTCCCCTCGTGTACTTTTACTAAATATTAAATAATACATTACATAATTCTTTAATACTTCCCCCTTTTTTTTTATTCAAGTGAAAGGAGTCTTGGGTTATTGCCAGACGAGTGATTGTGAATATTTGTGTGCACATGTTGATGTCTTAACGTGTGTATTTACTATTTAAGGAGGGAATTTTGTATTGAGGACGTGAGGAAGAGTTGGGGCTGACAAAAGTGCGTTAAATTTAATAGGACAAAATATCACAGCGACAAAATGTCTCAATGACAAGATGCCAGTATGTCAAAACAAGATGTCAGTATGGAACAAATTTAGGTTCTACTTGACTTTATGAGTCCAAACAAAACTTTATGAGCCCAATCACATTTTATTAAATTCTGAACAAAATTATGATTAATTGAATCTCGCTGGAATGACTGCTTTTGTACTGATACTTAGGGTTTAAGTCGGCATTTCAATGCTGAAAAGCAGTAGAAAGGGATAGGTTAATGTTACTGTTATAGAACCCAGCGACCGTTAACTCCCACAAGGCGTTTAATTCTATCGAATGACACCAAAATCATTTAAAACGGTTTATCCGTTCAAGAGTTACTTTGCGTTGACTCTACTGTCCCTATTTGGTGTTTAAGAGAACAGAAGACTTCAAAGATGAGTATTTTCTGACCAAAAAGAAAAGAATAGAAAGGAACAAAAAATAGAAAAAGTGCAAAACCGTTGCATTTTGTCCTAAATATTTGGGGTGGTTTGTCTCGTGCTATAGTGCATCTCAAAAGGAAACAAGTGGGTAAAAGACTAGGGTTGGCCAGACAGGAATTTTATATTTTTTGTTTTGTTCGTTGTAGGCCATCATCTAGAGCTAATCCAAAAGATCAACAAATATATAAAATAAGCCGTTAGAGTATGAGTTTTTGGTCAGTATTTTGCCTTTGTCTATGACTTGAATGGATCAGAGTGCGTTTGTTTCTTATTAGAGAATGACATTAAAAGTTCATTAGAGTCCAGTTAGTAATATTAAAAAATTTTGTCCATTGGAGTCTAAGTAATTTTTATATTTATCGAGACTTTAAAGACCATAAGAGGACGTTTGGCTATATGCTGGTTATCATTTGGGCTAACCTTGACCTGAACTTATACCATAATTAAAATAGTATTTCAAGCCGCATCTAGTCAATATTTGTCTTCCATTTAAAATTTTGACTTTAAACGACGAGGGAATAATAATTGGGCAAATTTGATTGCCCAGCCTTTATTTGGTTTTTACTTGATTCATTTTTTGTTAACGTTTTTAATTAAAAACTTTTCTGAAAAAGTTATTTGGTCTAAACACCTTTTTTAATCTTGAATTTTTTTGTTTGTTCAAAGATATTAGATCACATTTATCTATTGTCTTGAGTCTTTAAATATCTCTTTAGTC